ACTTTAGGCATTACCTCTATGGTAAAAAGTTCATAGTCCGCACAGACCATAGCTCTTTAAGGTGGCTTTTCAAATTTAAGAATCCTGAAGGACAGTTGGCACGGTGGTTGGAAATCCTCAGTACATACGATTTCGACATACAACACCGACCAGGTACACAACACAGCAATGCAGATGCATTGAGCCGTGTGCCATGTCGCCAGTGTGGTTTTGATCCAAACTGGGAGAAAGATTTGGAAAGTAACAAGCAAGACGGAGTGAGAGCTATTTCCCAAGCCAGTGAATCAAAGGATGATGATGACGATCCATTGCTGTCTATGAAGGACATGCAAGACAAAGACAAGGATATATCCCTTGTCAAACATTGGGTCAAGGAGAAGACAAGACCTGAGTACAGTGTGATAAGTGGCCAAGGTTATGTACTACGATCTTTATGGTCACAGTGGAACAATCTTTGTATTGAAAATGACATTCTGTATAGAAGATTTGAAGAGGAAGATGGAAAGACCATACGCTTGCAGGCTATTGTACCAAGTAGTCAACGACGGACAATATTCGAGTACTGTCATGATGTGAGGACAGCTGCACATCTTGGTGTGAGCAAGACACTTGCTCGAATAAGGCAAAAGTTTTATTGGCCTGGTTTGCAAGCAGACACCAGAATGTACATAGCTGGTTGTGAGAAATGTTGTAAGAGGAAAGGTCCTCAAATGAAGAGAAGAGCACCCATGGAATTGGTTGAGAGTGGTTTACCCATGGACAGGATTGCCACGGACATCTTGGGAGAACTACCAATGACAGAGGATGGCAATAAATACATATTGGTGGTATCGGACTATTTTACGAAATGGACCGAGTCCTTCCCTATGCCGAACATGGAAGCCAAGACAGTGGCAAAACTTATTGTTGAAGAAGTAATTGCTCGGTTCGGCGTGCCATCAGTTATTCACTCTGACCAAGGTCGACAATATGAGAGTGCACTGTTTGAAGAGATGTGCCAGGTTCTACAAATTAAGAAAACGCGGACCAGCCCCTACCATCCACAAAGTGATGGAATGGTAGAGCGTTTTAACAAGACGCTAGTGACAATGTTAAGCGCTTACGTGAACGACCATCATTCAGATTGGGACAAACACCTACCATTTGTAATGATGGCTTACAGGGCTTCCGTTCACGAGACAACTGGCTATACTCCAAATTACCTGATGCTGGGAAGAGAAGTGTCAACACCGCTTGACATCATGTTTGAGATGCCCAGATCAGTGCAGCAAATTCCCAAAGACAAGTGGGCCTGGGAATTAAAAGAAACCTTGGAAAGTGCACACAAACATGTCAGAGAGAACATAAAAACGGCAATGGTTCGACAAAAGAAGTATCACGACCAAAAGTTGTCATGGCAGAAATTTGAGCCAGGTTGCCAAGTCTATGTGTTCTTTCCTATTAGAAAGGCAGGTCGCTCGCCAAAATTTACCAGTTACTGCCGGGGTCCTTACAAGGTGCTTTCAAAGATGACAGATATCACCTACAAAGTTGACTGTGGACGTGGTGGAAAACCACAAGTGATACACGTCGACAGAATGCGTCGAAGGTACCCTCAAACGTTGCAAGGTGAAACGCCTGATGATGAGAGGACGGCACCAGAGGACGATCCTGAACCTCTGGGTGAAGAAGTAGAGGAAGAGCATGAGTTAAGTAACCATTCTGATGCAGACGACATCCCTGTTAGACGTAGGAGAAAACCACAGTGGATGGAAGACTACGTCTTGTATTAGAGAGTCACAAGTTGTCAGGCATAACAGAGAATTGTATATAGATGTAAATATTGTAAACACTTAATCATATGCGGGACGCATATAATCTTGAGGGAAGGGTAGTGAAACGGAAATGGGTGAGGTTTAGTTTCGTATAAACGTTAGACCTACGTTTCCACTTAATTCTTAAACACTAAAAAATATTAATTTTACAATCATACAAGTAGTATGAATCTGCTACTATACGGAGACTGCATTGGGATAATACTTATTGTATTGCGGGACCTTGGAGACCTCTCTGGTGACGGAGTTGTGAAACCTTAGCTTGTTTCTCCTCTTACACACGGTCATAAGACCTGAATAAGGCAGACAGTTGCGGGGGATAGACAGCTAAGTGTTGTAGACTACCCAAAAGCGTAAGACCTGAATAAGGCAGTCACTTGGTAGTATAGATCGAGAGAGGTGGCATACCACAGTGAGAAGTGGGGGAAGTGCCAGGAGTCAGTACAGTGAGAAGTGGCAGGACCGAAGAAATCTATTTACGGGAGACACCCGTTGACCACAGTTAGTGGTTGTCCAATCAAGAAGAAACCGTTTATATTTGTATTGTATTTGTATATATTTGATTATAATTTTTTTTGGTCAACAAAAACCTGAGTTAACAGGTTAACGAACCAGAGTGTAACGCCTCGGTGATACAAGACATATCACCACACAACACCAAGCTCGGCCGCGTTGCACGTTACAGTTCTACTTTTTTAAAATAAACAGGATTTGTCTAATATTTTTAAAATGACGTGTAAATAAATACATTTCCTACGGAATATGTAAAAAGAATGTGATTTACTGTTAATTTTTAAAAGGCAGAATATTATGAGATTTTGTTCCAACAGACGATCGTGATCGGGAGGCCCGGGTTCGATTCTCGATCGCGGCGCCGCGTCATACCTAAGACGTAAACAAAGGTAGTGACTGTTCCTTCGCCAAACGCTCGGCACTAGAAGTGAAAGTCACGGGTCTTTCGGATATGACCTTAAAAACGTAGGTCCCGTGTCACGGTAGGCGTTGGCACGATAAAGAACACTCACTGCTCAATGGCCCTGAGTGCCGAGTATAGGTCTAAATTTGAAGCCCTTCACCGGCATCGGTGACGTCTCCATATGAGTTAAAAATTCTCAAGAGGGACGTTAAACAATATACAATCAGTCAATCCAACAGACGATGATAAAGCGCATTTTACAATATGCCGAGCCTTTTCCCACCGATTCTCACACCAAAACAAGAACGAGAAGAAATGAAGTGGCGGATCTAGAGCGAGTTGGATTGGGGGTTAACATCCGCGGAGAGTGATCGAGGAACCCCGTTTATCAATTGCTTCTTTTATTAAAGTGAAAAATAATCTCTAGATATAGATAAGTTTAAACTTTAGTTTTATATTTAATTGTAAAAACTTCCACCAGAATTTGCCTGTATCAAACTAAGTGTGATGACGCAGATTTACCTGTATTACGGTATGTATTGAAGAAAATCCTGCAATGCCGCATGCAAATGTTTTACGTCGCATGTATAAATATGAGATATTTTAATAATAGATCAAGCATTTCAGTTTTAATGGAAAAATTTGTGCTTGATTGCTGTTTGTAATCCCATTTTCACCCCTTTTTCTAATTTCTTCTTGAAAGGGCCGATAAATTGGTTTGCGGCCGATTTTTGACGCTTGCATCAATAGGTTTCATGGATTTTTTTAATCTGACAAGGATCGATGAATAAACAAATGAAAAATATTTTTTTTTCTGTAGGAATATTAACAGTCTTGTTTTGAATTGTTAATTTGAAATTGTGTATAATTTTAGGAAACACATGAAAATGAGATCAAAATGCATTTGTAACTTTTGACCTTTGGGTACAACCCAAATCTTTGCTCATAGGATTTACATGAATTATCACATTATATCCTAATTAGTAATTAAAAATTACATCTTCTGAAATAAGTTCTCTTATTGTCATATTGTTGATCCTTATGTGCATTTGATACTTGTGTTTTACCTCTTTCACATCTCAAACTTTAATTATTTTTTACAATCATGTATTTCTGATCATTGGTATTCATGTCAACTTTATTTTAACCTACATTATTGGAGAAGTGATTGTTTGTACAGAGTTACTGAAAAGCAGAAACCATAGTTATATTTATTAATTTTATCTACGTAATTTGTAATCATTTCTCATTGTTAATGATTGTTTTAACTGAAAAGGACAACCATTTCAACTGGCATACGAGTAAAGAAAGGCATTTTTTTAGTTTAAATCTGTCATATAATAAAATACTACGTTTAATAATTCCAGAAATGTTGGTTGTCAAATTTGTCAAGATATATCTTTGTAATTGTAAGCAATACCCCAATTTTCCAAAAACAATTTAAACTTGTGAAATGTAGCGTTCCACAGGCTACACATTCGAATTAAACCAGATAATAAAACACTCGTCATTGAAGACAACATCCATTTATTGAACCGGAACTAAGACAAAGACAAGGGCAATAACTCTACATATAGAAACACATACAAGATAGAGTTATCTTCCATTCATAAAGTACTTACACAAAACTACAAACTCTACATCCCTTCCTTTCTCGCTCAGAAACATAATTTTCAGCCAGAACTATCTATTACAATTCACACTTAACATGCTTAAGGCATACTACTTAGTATCAACAGAAATCATATGATTATTTTCCAAAGAAAATATAACAAACATAAATGGTGAAAACATGAATATTAAATGCACACTCAGTTCATAGTACATTTGGAATAGTCAATACATGATCCAGAGTTCACACATAGTTTTCCACTAATACATTTCAAATCTTGACGGAAGTCTCTTGTTTCTAACAGGTCGTTGATTGACATTTAGATCAGTATTTTGGACATTTGATTTATTCGCAACATTAACAGGTGCAGAACTACAATCACTTTCTGGCTTACTATCAGCATTTGTATCAAGTTTCATTTCAGAGTTATCATCAAGAACTTCATCATCAACAATAGATTGTGACTCATTACATTGTAAATCATTTGATGTACACGTACTCTCAATCTCTCTCTCATTAAATTTCTTTAAATGAGTAACATTTCGCTTGTATTGTACCCCTTGATCTGATTCAACAATTGCACTGTTGCCATTCATCTTAACAACTTTAAAAGGTGACTTGTTAAATGGAGTAGACAACTTATTTTCACGGTCTTGTTTCACAGAACTTGGTCACCTGCACGAATATCGGTTTTGGCTGCCATGCGACGTTTATCTGAATACATTTTACCCTTCTCCTTCCTTTCTGCATCGCGGTCGCGTACTTCAAGGTCATCAACATTATAGTCAAAAAGCTCAGGCAACTTCATGCGGAGTTTACGCCCGAAAAGTAACTGAGACGGACAACGTTGTCGAATGTGGTGTATTTCAATACATCACAAGAAATTTGTCAAGTTCAGATTTCCGATCTCGGCCTTCGGCAAATGCAATCCGAACACGTTTCATAATTGACCTATTCTGTCGCTCAACCTCGCCGTTTGCCTGTGGCCATAGGGGGGTTATTTTATGATGAACAATGCCATTTCAAACATGTAATTCTTAAAATGTTCGCTAACAAACTGTGGACCATTGTCGGTGTGGATTGAATACGGCAATCCATGAGTTAAACAGAACTTCGATATGAGACCTGTTATCTGCTCTGACGACATATTTTTAGGTCACCTGAGTAAACTCAGGTGACCTATTGCTATCCGTTTTCGTCCATCGTCGTGCGTCGTTCGTCGTGTGTTAACATTTGAACATTTTCAGCTTCTTCTCTGAAACCACTGAACCAATTTCAACCAAATTTGGCACAAAGCATCTATGGGTGGAGGGGAACAAAAATTGTGAATTTCATGATCCCTGCCCCCCTGGGGCCTGAGGGGTGGGGCCAAAACCACTAAAATTAATGCAATCTTTTAAAAATCTTCTTCTTTACTCCTGGACAACAAGCAGGCAAACTGTTTGCATGATTGTAATCAGCAATGAGTCCTCTACCACAATTGTGAAATTCATGGCCCTAGGATCAGGGGTTATAGTGCTAGGGCGGGGCTAAATAAGTAGGTAGTGAAAATGCATTATTTCTTTGAAAATCTTCTTCTCTGCTCCTGGGTATTAAATAAACCAACTAAGTACATAGTTATGATGAGCAAGAGTGCCTCTACCAAAATTGTGAATTTTATGGCCCCAGGGTCAGGGGTTCTGGTGTTAGGGCGGGGCTCTATTGATTATATAGTGAAAATACATGAATTCTTTTAAAATCTTCTTCTCTGCTCCTGGGTATTAAATAAAACAAATTAAGTTTATAGTGATGATAAGCAAGTGTGCCTCTACCAAAATTGTGAATTTTATGGCCCCAGGGTCAGGGGTTCTTGTTTAAGGGGGGGGGGCTCTAATGATTATATAGGGAAATGCATGAATTCTTTGAACATCTTATCCTTTGCCCCTGGTTAATATGCTAATGATCTTATTACATATTTAAGGCCAGGATTTATTTTTTTGAGTTTTTCAAACCCTTCGCTCAAGGTTTTGAATGTTCAGAAAAAAATAAAACATTTTTTTTCTTTCCGATGTCAAATTTGAGTCGGGATCGAGATTTCAAATTTACGAACTCGCACTTCCGGTTTTACTTTTAGGATGAAACGGCGGGTAGGAAAATAAAGCTAGATCTGAGAAGAGCTTGGTTTAGTGTAAAATTCATCGATAAGAGTGCCATTCAAAACGTTTCACCTGTTCAAAAGACAAATAAAATGCTGACGACTTTGTTGCACAATGACATGATGGTGAGATAATTATGTATTCGTTTCAAAAGTTACTGTAAATTATTTTCCTCCCCCAGGTTTTTAGCTGCCCGTGGTAGCTATTGCATATTGCCAGGGACATTGTTTAGGTCTCTATTATAGCTTACAGTCTAAGCCTCATTCTTCAGAAAAGGGTTGCTTATGCCTCAGATGTAATGAATAAAACTATGGGAGAAGTTAATTCCATTTGAGGAAGAAATTAAAAATAATCTGAAGAAATAAAAAAAAAACTATTAAAAGGCAAGAATATACAAATATATACAGGCATGTAGTATCATTTGTATCAGCCAGAAAAATTATTTTACACTTAATTGAAAAAAATGTTGACCCTACTCCCCAATACTCCCTGTCTGTTTTATGATAGGAATTATAATTTTAGGCATCAAGTAAATTTTAGAACAATGTCTACACATTCATATAACACATATTTAAAAAAATGAAGATATATTGAAATATATTTTGATCAACATCACAAAATTTATATACCGGTAACAGGCCCAAACTGGCAGATGATGAAATAAGCAATTAAATGTTCTACTTTCCTATTTGTAAGCATTATGTGTCCAGTGGTAAGGAGCCTATTAGGATAGCATAAAAAAAGAATGTACCAATGTTAATAATTGATTTATCAAAAAAAAATTTTATTTCCTTCTCCTTCGGGACTTTTTTATTCTCATGTTCATAACTAAACCTAAACATAAAAAAAATGCTGGCCTTATAATGAAGAAAGGAGCCTCTTTCAAAATAGATAATTTCTCAGGGCTGCGGGGTCAGGGGTACCAGGGGGGTACTTTGACTAAAAATGAATTAATGCTTTGAAATCCGCCCTTTGATAAGCAATGGTGCCTCTTTCAAAATTTGTGAATTTCATGGATTAAAACACGAACCAAATATAATCACTGGAAAGTTGTTACATGATACTCAGGTGACCTATAAGGCCCGAGGGCCTCTTGTTCGTAATCGCAACCTCAAAATATCGACTATAATAGTCTACGAGCACAAATATATACTCTTTACTAGGCAACGGCCCTAAAAGATCAGCGGCAAGATGTTGCCATGGTGCGGAAGGCAATTCAGTGCGCTTCACCGGTTCAGGTTTACTCGGTTGACCCACTAACTGGCAACCATAACAACTTTGGCAAAATTTTTCAACACTTTTATCCAACCCTGGCCACCATACTTTACTTCTTAGCAGAGATTACATTGCAACAATGCCAGGATGGCCTTCATGCGCAAGCTCAAGAACCTGATTACGCAACTGTGAGGGAATAACAATTCGGGTACCACGCAGTACTAACTTACCAATTGAACACAACTCAGTACGCACTGGCAAATATTGCTTAAATTCTATACGATGCCATTGCTGGCTTACAAGACAGTCTCTTATAGCACACAGTTCTGCATCATTCTCCGACGCTCTCTCGATCTCACGTGTTGTCATCGCCATCGGGGTAGCTTCCTTAGCTACAAACCTCACATAAGCATCCTCCAAATCAAGCGACTGTTGAGCAGGGTCATTCTTAACCAGACGCAAAAGTGTATCTGCGATATTTCTTGGACCAGGAATGTACCGAACTTTAAATGTGTATAGTTGCATTCGAAGCACCCATCGTTCTATTCTAGCACAAACTTTCGACTTCGGAGAATATATACATTCAAACGGTTTGTGATCAGTGAGTAGCTCAAACTCTGTACCGTACAAACAAACATGAAACCTTTCGCACGCCCAAACTAAGGCTAGGGCCTCTTTGTCTGCGAATAGCGACGTTCTGTATCACTTAACCTACGGCTCGCGTACAAAAAGAACCCGATGTTCACCATTTTGTTCTTGCACCAGCACCGCCCCGAGTCCTACAGGACTAGCATCGGCTATAACTTTAGTCGGCGCAGATTTGTCATAGTAACCCAACGTTTTGGCATCTGCCAGACGACGCTTCAATTCTACAAATGACTGTTGTTCAGATTTTCCCCATTTAAAAACTGAATTCTTGCGCGTCAACTCTCTCAACAAGCCCTAAGAAACTGCGCACTTCACTCGAAGTTTTCGATTCGCGTGCTTCGACAACGGCTTTGACTTTGGCTTCAAACGGAGGTATGCCAAGACCAGACAAAACATGACCCATAAATACAACTTCTGACATAGTCAACTCACATTTGTCCCTGTTAAAGGTAAGCCCCTTTTCATACAACACTCTCACAACATTTTCAAGACATCTATCATGTTTTTCTTGACTACTTGCATGTACAAAGATATCATCCATAATATTGCGCACCCTCTCACACCCTTGCAACACTTGTTGCATGACCTTTTGATACATTTCTGGGGCACAACTAATGCCAAACATAAGACGTTTGTATCTAAATAAACCCTTATGTGTTACAAAAGTAGTAATTTCTCGAGATTCTGGTTTTAACTCAATCTGGTGATATGCCCAAGTAACATCAAGTTTGCTAAAAACAGTACTACCATTCATTTCATGCAAAATTTCATCAATTGAGGAATAGGGTGACGGACTCGTATTGGCCTGGCGCATGTCCACACAGAGTCGAATGTCATCACCTGAATGTTTGGGTACACAAACCACTGGAGACACCCACGCACATGGCTTGTCAACGCGTTCAATGATGTCCAAATCGAGTAGCTCATCCAACTTCCTGTCGAGTTTGTCGCGCAAACTGTAGGGTATACGTCTCATAGGCTGTATTACTGGCTCAACATCTGGGTTGATTGGTATTTCTAGTTGAAAGGATTTCAGCTTTCCTACTCCTTTGAAGCCATTAGGGTATTTCTCAAAAACAGTTCTGTTGTCCAGATTAACAGCTTCACTAACACTGCTAACGATCTGTAACATGCCCAACTGCACAGCTGTATCTCTACCAAGTAAGGCTTGTCCTTCTCCCTCAATGACCGCGAATTCCACATCCGGAATGACGGTTTGGTTGTATTTCACAGTTGCTGTGAAGATCCCAGCCACTTTCAGAGGTTTTTGACTTCCATAAGCATAGAGTTTTTTCTCAACTTTGGACGAAACATAGTTTATGTGGTTTTTCTTCAGATAGTTCAATAATGGCATTCCCATTATATTACAGCTCGCCCCTCAGTCAATAATCATGCTGAGGTCAACATTACCAACGTTCACAACCGGGCTGTCATTTAACACAGAATTTTGGTGGACACAAAAAGCGCACACTTTGTCTTCATCACTCTGGCCTGACTGGTCTGTAAGGTGATGAATTTTTCCTGGTTTCCTCTTTTCTCCACGGTCTTTGGTTTTACACATTTTCTCTAAATGTCCAGTCTGCTTACACTTATGACACTTCTTTCCCCTTGCGGGGCATTTGGGGTCATTCCGCAAGTGTCCTTCATAACCACAACTAAAACATTTACTGTTTGTCTTTTTCGCAAAATGTTTCTTGTTTTGTACACTGACCTTGTTTACAACACCGTTAATGGCCCCTTGCACACGACCTTCAATTGACGTGGCTTGCCTCTCAGAGTCTTCCCGGGCTCTTGCGATTTCTCGGACTTGAGTAAGATTAAGGTTCCTACCTTTTTCTAGTAACTTCCGGCGTAAGTTATGACGAAAACACTTGTCAATGATTTGGTTACGTATTCTCTCATCAATCGCATCCCGGTTCCCGAATTCACATGTTTCTGCTCTCTGGCGTAAGCGAATAATATACTGTTCAATAGTTTCATGTTCTAACTGAGCCATACTTCTAAATACAGACCTCTCGTACGGAACATTTGCCTGGGGTTTAAAGTATTTGTCCAAGGCGCTCACGGCTTTGGCGTACTCATCCTCTCCTTCTCCCTCCGGTAATGTAAAGAATATATCTTGCACTTCCATTCCCGCTGTATGGAGAAGCAACGCTTTAGCTTGATCAGCTTCCTTTACGCCTCGAAGTTAAATATCCTCGTCGCCAATTTTATGCAGCGTTCCACCGGCTACACATTCGGATTAAACCAGATTATAAAACACTCGTCATTGAAGACAACATTCATTTATTGAACCGGAACTAAGACAAAGACAAGGGCAATAACTCTACATATAGAAACACATACAAGATAGAGTTATCTTCCATTCATAAAGTACTTACACAAAACTACAAACTCTACATGAAATAGTGTGGTGGTCCTGGAGGTACTGGGCACAAATTGCCCTGCTACCTCTGATCACAGGGTGTACGTCACAGCACCTGTCGTGACGTATACCTATCCTCGCTCTCTTTTCTGTTATACGCTGCAGAGTACAGACGTGTCTCTGTCAGCTCCGCCATTATTGTTTTATTGTATATTATATTGCGGGCACTAATAAACAGCGGATTATTTTAACATAGTGTTTTCTCTGTTCCGCCATCACTTTAGTAACAGTATATAATATAGAGAAACGCTATATTGGCGCTGCGAGCAGGGTATTTTAGTTTGACTGCGGGGTAAAACCTTACCTGCACGTGTTAGTGCCCGTCGCCATCTTGGATATTTTTCCGAGATGTAAGGCAGCAGTATTTATTTTATTTTGTATATACGTTTATACTTGGGTTTTGTATTTAGCCGATTAACCGCTTAATTCATGTAAGTTTGTAATTTTGCCGTTTTGAGGGTACCGGGCGTGATGGACCATGTTTTCAGTTCTTTTGGTAGGGGGAGGGGGACTTTGAGGCCGAGTGGGGACTGGGACGTTCATGTTGGGGGAAATGACCAAGCGGGTCTGGGGAGTACCCCGGGGGAACGCAGTCCGCGGAAAGTTCCGCCTCCCGGAAGCGTGAAATTCGCTCCGGGTGTGTGTAGCACACCGATGCCCCAGGGGGAGGGTGCCCCGGATAATGTCACCCAGTATGAGGGCAGAGATATGTCACTTACACAGGGAGCTGATGGGTCTTTGGAAACGCCCGGTTTCCAGCAGTTTTATTCCCTGCTCCAGGAACGACAGACTATCCTGGAGGGGGTCGTTGACCGAATGCAGGGAGAAATAGGTCAGATTCAGGGAAATATTTCCCAGGTACAGGGTGACCTTGGTGCGGTTAATAGCAGGGTGGATAGTCTTGGTCAAGACGTGGGAGCTCTGCGTGGGGATATAGGCTCATTAGAAGCTAACATGACGTCTCAGATGGGGACCCTGAAGACCGACATGACATCTCATATGGGGTCTATGGAGACAAACATGGGGACTCAGTTAAGTGAAATTACTCAAATGCTTGCGGGAATGATGAAGTCTGATCATGAGAAACCGCAGTCAGTAACTGAGCCACAGGAGCTCAAAGTCACTGCCAGTCCGTCTGTAATGACTAGTAGCCAGGGGAGTCCCTGGGTTCCTAGCTCATTGCCAGTGCAGTGTCCTACAGTGCAGCCCGTCGCTAATTTACCTAGGACCGAATCTATTCCTAACCAAAACCCTAAGGTCAATTCTGTTTTTGCATCTCAAAGTCAGCCATTTTCTTCAGTAGACTACAGTAGTCTTGGCTCGGGTTTGCCGAGTACTATTACATTTGGCTCGTTCTTATCAGGGAACAGGGGGAATCCTGTACATCCTAGCATGGGCCCTTCTGTTCCGGGTCATGTTGCTGGTGGCATGAGTGTGTCAGTGACGGCACCAACCGCATCTGTGTCCTCTAGTGCAGCTAACTTGGGTAGTCAGGGTTCTGGCTACTATGGTGGGTTGGTAGGGCAGTCGGCGGCACTAGGGGGAGCACCATCCTTTGCACCTGGGGTAGGGGGTTGGTCTTGGGTACCTCAAGGTCACACATTAATGACTACTGCAGATACATCCCAATATCCGAGTTTAATACCCCCTGGAACTCGGAGTAGCGTAAGTAGGAATATTCCAGCTGAAATAAAGTGGATGAAGTACAATGGGGATGTAGAGTGGGGACCATTCTATTCAAAGTTCTCTACAATCGCTGAGTACCATCAGTAGGGGGACCCCGATCGTTTGTTTGCCTTGAGTTTAACATTGGAGGGGGCAGCACTCAAGTACTTTGATATTCTGCGTCGCAGGGGGACACTTTTAAGTTCCCAAGAAGTAGTACTGCGAATGGAGGAGAGGTTTGGGAAAAGTTCCTTAAGGGCAGCCTCTCAGCTGGAATTTAGCTCCATAGCTCAAAAACCAGAAGAATCAATGGAACAATGGGCAGATAGAGTCATGGACACTGCCCAGAAGGCCTTTGGTGGCGGAACTTCGCCAGAAATATTTCAGGAGCAGCTCATTGTTAGATTTGCTCTTGGTTGCAGTGATGGGGAGGCGGGTCAACAGTTGATCAACAATCCCCCTTGTACTCTGGCGGAGGCAATAAAAAGGATGAAAACTTATCAGTTAAGCCGCCGAGCAGTGGTTCGTCGTCCCCGTGCTGTGAGGTCCGTTTCCTCAGAGCGGGACCCTGAAGGTCGGAGAGATTCTCGCTCGCCGCCTGCTCACCGACGTAGGATCTCGGACTCCGGGAGCCGAGATAAGTCAGTAGAGCGAAGGTTTGGTTCCACATGCGACTCTAGAGAGAGTAGTAGGGGACGTAGCCCTACACGTAAGCCTATAGGGGGGAAATCAGCGAGTCAAGGGGTCTCTAAGAGTTCAGGGACAATTGTTTGTTATGAGTGCAAAGAACCGGGGCACGTAGGGCGGAATTGTCCGCGTAGGAGCAACCCGGAGTCCCTGTGCCCGTGTCTGAAAAAATGTGCAGAGACTGGGACTAAGGAGCGCTCGACTAGTGGTAATAGGGTGACTTTTGCTGACACTCCGAATATCAAGGCCACTTATGTTATTCCCTCAGTTAGGTCAGGTAGTCATAGCATAGGCTCAGGAGCGTGGCGCATCCCCATATGCATAGGAGGTCAGCATATCAAAGCGACTATAGATACAGCAGCCGACATCACAATAATCTCAAGTGAAGTTTATAAGTCCTTGAGGCCGCAGCCCGAAGTTGTTAGAGACACTAATGTTAGGCTAGCTGGCGAGGGGGCTGGTATGACCGCACAGTACCTTGGCAATCTCAACTTACGCATTGGGGATTATGATTTTTATCACCCAATCTATGTTGGCCCTTTGCAGGATGAAATGCTTCTGGGGATTGATTTCCTGCGCGCACATGGTGCAGAAGTTTCATGCGAAGCAGGTACTCTAAGGATCAAGGGTATAGACACGCATTTTGCCCTTAGCTCTGAAGAAACAGTGCCAGTACTCGAGGCAGTTTCAGTCCGCAGAGTGCGGGTCTCTCCGCACACTGCCCAAGTTATCGAGTGCACCCTTAGTTCCGAGATGCCAGAATTTATGCTGGAACCAGCTAACATTTTTCCGCCTGGTATAGTAGCCTCGCGGACATATAACGCTGCAGGAAATGGAGCCAAACTATGCATATTAAACTTGACTGACAGAAGTCACATTATAAAGACTGGTGCCAAGTTGGGGGAAGCCGTCCCTGCGGTGTCAGTTGAGGGTACCGATCCAACAGTGCGTCGTGTGTCAGCCGAGGGGGGAAACAGTAATAAACATATTGCCCCACTGCTAGAACAGTTAGGCAAGACCGCGCCTGTGGAAGTCAGGTCTCAGGCTGCGGAGCTAGTTAAAGAATTTGCTGACGTCTTTGCTACTGATGACCTTGATCTCGGAAGTTTTTCCGAGATCGAACACCGAATAGACACCGGTAACGCGTCTCCTGTCAAGCAGCGGATGCGACGCACCCCTGCTGTTTTTCAAGGGGAGGAAGAGGGTCATCTCGATAAGATGTTGAAAGCCGGAGTCATCCAGCCATCTTCCTCAGACTGGGCGTCTGCCCCAGTGCTGGTCCGGAAGAAGGATGGCAGCGTCCGTTGGTGCGTGGATTATAGAGCCCTTAATAAGGTTACAGTCAAGGACACGTACCCTCTGCCACTCATTGAGGAGTGCATGGACACACTAGCGGGAAACCGCTGGTTTTCCAAACTTGACGCTAATGCGGCTTACTGGCAGGTTAAGATAGCTCCGGAAGACCGGAAAAAGACTGCCTTTATTACAAAATATGGCTTATTTGAATTCACTAGAATGGGGTTTGGTCTGTGTAATGCCCCCGCGACCTTTGCTAGGGCAATAAATTTGGTGTTACACAGACT